GTGCTTATGGTTAGAGACAAGGTTTTTAAAAGAAATAGCTCTAGTTAGTGACTTTGTGACTCTTGAGTTGACTTTGGCAATCATCGAGTGGTTTAATTGGACCAGAGTGATCTTTAAACTTAAATGTGGTCGTTGTAGGTTCTCGACTTTATCATCTTTTACAATCTAGTTGCGTGAGGGGTGAGATGAATTGTTGCCAGTCCAAGTATCCGTGCGAAGGATCTAGAACTTGCCCCGAATGTGTTTCAAGGTGAAAACCTAAATTTCGCTTGGTTTGAGAAGTGATTGTAGGCTCTCCTTGGCCCGTTTGAGTTTTTTATTGCCTACCAATGTCGTTATCCCTATTCAACCCCTTTGAGACTCTAGCCTTTCTCATTTGATAACTATGTTACAAGACTTTATCCATTTTTTCGTGACCCTCTCTTGGTACCCGAGATTTCTTTAACACTCTTGTGAAACAAATGGCTTAAAATATAAGTTTGGGGGAGAGATGAGGAATTTGAAAAAGGTATCAAGGCACAAAAAGAGAAAAAGAAATGATCTCTATGAGAAGAGAAGGCAAGAAAAGAAAAGAACAAAAAGAAAAATGCAAAAAGTGAATAAGTAAAAGGGTTGATGGATTCAAAAAGAGGTAATGATACCAAACATTGAGAAATTAAAAAGGGAGAAAAATAATGAAATGATCAAGAAAGAGTGATGTTAAGTCTATCTAGACCCTAATGAAAAGAAACTGTCTCTAAGAATTGGCAATTGTGAGCCGAGAAATGAAAGATGGAGTGCTTAAGGAAAGGTGTAATCACTTATCCATACGGTATCCTACCCTAACCCAAAATACTTCATTACATCCCGAAAGAACTCCTACTTGATTTCAAATCGAGTGAGCTTACATAGTGGTGATCTACATGAGAGGCAAGCCTATGGTACTTGAAGCCGTACTTGTGACATTCTCTTGTGAGAGATAAGTGAGCCTTTCATGAAACTTCGGATTGAGCGCGAACTTCTTAAGTGAGCTTGGCAAATGGAAAGTACAGGAGGAAGAGTTTGGAGTCCACCATGGCCTACATGATAGAACAAGAGTCCTTGATGAGTAAAGTTAATTCTTGAAGCTCAAATGTCACATTAGAACTATATGTGCATGAATATGTGACTTGTCACCTTGTTGATAATGCATGAGCAGTGTGGGTAATTGTTGGTCCCAACTTATGTGTGAATGGCTCACCTTTGACTCGCTGAAATGACCCTTAACTTTAGGAGGTGGGAACTAATTTATTTGATTGAGGACAAGCAAAGACTTAAGTTTGGGGGAGTTGATAAGTAGGGATTTTGACTACTTATTAACACCTTTTTGCTCTTGTCTTAGTCCGAAAGTATTGGTTCATGTTTCCAAAACTAATGAAATATGCAAATTGCAGGAATGTTAGAAGTTTGGTCTCCCATGATGAAATCCGACTCAAAAAGCAGTGTTCTGAAGCACAAGGCAATAAAGGGCGCAGAAGCAAAGAAGTGTGGTCCACATAAGAAATTGCGGACTGCAGAATTCTATCTGCGACCGCAAACCAAGCTAAAGAAACCAACGGGATTTTGACAAATGTGCGGACCGCACACGAGTTGTGTCGCAAATGAAGTATGGTTCCGAAAGTGACTTTGGTTTGCCAGTTCAGGCTCAACTCCTCGCTTTACGTTAGCGGACCTACAGGTCGGGCCGGGGCTCTGCGCTCTTTCTTTCTATGTGGGATGATAACGGGGAGAGAAGGAAATTCGTCGAGGCGACGAACAAGACAACAGGGTCTGCACTAACAAATAGTTCCAAGTTCAGAAAGTGTGCAGATGACCAAGTTCTGACGCCTTACTGAAGTGCGGACCGCACAAGAATTATGCGGCCGTAGAACCCCTGATAGACATTTTTGTCAGCGAATTTTGGCCCACTATAGCTTGACGAGTTTCACAAATTTAGGTTAAGTTTTGGAAAAAAAAAAGCTGTTGTAGTCGTTACCCTTTAATACTTTAGGAAGTTTGTAACCATTTTAGTGCATTAACATTATCTTTTACCATTTTAATCTTTAAATATGAGTTTAATTAGCCTTTCTTCTTTATTTTCTTCAATTTTCATTATGAGTAGATTCTTACTAGGGTTGTAACCCAACCCTAGTGTGTAAACTTTATGGGTATTTAATTTAATACTTATTTATGATTTAGTGTTAATTATTTAGCTTAGTTCATGCTTCAATTTTAGAATTAATGGCTGCAAACATTGATTCATGCCTTTTTGACTTAGTCTCTACTTGAGAAAGAGGGACCTAGTCTAGGATAACTTGGCTAACAAGGAATTGGGCTAATTGAGAGATTGATTAGCCTAATTAAAGGGTTCAAATTAGAGATAGTAAGAACCCGACTTGAGCTCATATCAACTATTTTGTTTGATACCCATTTGGACTTGAGAAAGCCAAATGGGGCGAAATTACTCTTTAACTGAGAGGTACTGAGTGGGTAATTTAGAGTTGAGAGCTATAATATACCCCAATCACCAAAATAAGTATTAACGTCTTTATCCCATTAGGCGAACACCTAGGGTTATGGTCACATCCCTAAGCTTTTAATCTATTTGGAAAAACATCAAAAACAATCGTTCGTTTCTAGTTTCTTTTCTTTAGTTTGCATTTATTAGAGTAATAGTAGAAGTAGAAATCAAAAATGTGTTGTGGAAGTACAAATTTAGTTAGTCCATTCATTCATCAAGTATATACTCCTAACATCCCTTATAACTCCCTATGGATTCGACCCCGACTCATAGTTGGGTAATTTATATTGCATACAGTCGTATCATATCTTTTATCGAGGTGTGTTGTGGATGTCATCAGTTGACCTCTCTTATTAACCTCATTCAAATTTGTATTGGTTGCCTTCTCCTCTATAGTGTTTTTTCCTTTGGTGTTTTCTTCTCTTTCTTCTTTTTTTCATGACTTTTCTGCATTGGATTATGGAGTACCCAAGCAATATGTAATGTCTACAACATTTTGGGATATTTTCACACTCCAATTTCTGAGTAAATCCTTTTAGTGGATTAGATTTATCCTCTGACCCCACCCAGACAAAGTTCATCTTGGCTTGGTGGGATCAATCTCCACTTTAACCTTAGCCATATTTGGTCAAGTTTTGTGGTCTGTAGCCAAACCTATAGACAGGGGAGTTCTAATATGACCAACTTTTTGCTTAACATAATGCCAAGTACGGCAGTGAAAGGAAAGTTTAGGAAGGAGCATCCATACTGAAACTATAGGTGAATCCTCTTCCGGCTTAAAATCCGGTTAACATTTCTCAAGCCACATTAGTTGACCATCAATTTCTATAGAGAATCTATACCAAACATTTTTGAAGTCATCTTCATTGGAGAAATCCTGAAATACAATACAAAATCATAAACCCCTATTTTGACATTACCTTTGACTGTGATTTTTTTAGCAAACTTAGATCAAATTCTTTCTATTTGAGGTTGAGTTCGTAAGAACTTACCCACAATAATGAGCCTACATTCTTCTGACATGACTATATAGTAATCCGAGATTTTGAAAATGATCGTTGGGATTTCATTATGAGTGGAGTATCGAGCTTTCACATCTAGATTCCCATGGCGAGTTCCGTTAGGGCTCGGGGTCGACGAAGTGTTTAGAGCAACAACACAAATAGAAGTAGGATTCTCGGATTCTCAGTAATAGGTTTAATATTCTCAGTCAGACGCGCCATATTAATACCAATCGGCGCTCTCCATGAGACGTGCGTGAGCACCACACGCCCAGAAGAGGGAGTTAAGTTGTTTTTGTGAGGGAGTCGTTATACTGTACGGAGATCGAACTTTTTTAGAGAGATGTTTATGTGATTAAACTTCCTGGGGGTTTACATTCAAAATCGAAGCTATGTNTGCTTTAATTTAATTAGTGTTGGAGAATAAGCGGGTATCTCGAAGGAGTGTTTTTCACTAATAAGAATTTTTTCTTTTTTACTCTACTACCTTTTTATATATATACGAAATTTTAAACTTATTTACCCGATTTATCTAAGTTTTTCTATTTAGAAAAAGTAACTAAAGTTTTTTATAAAATATATACAAATTTGGTCAAAATCTGTAATTTATCTATGTAATTTTTTTGTATCCAGTCAACATTATTATTTTCATATATATATATATATATATATATATATTATTTATGTCTTCTTCCTTGCGTTTCAATATGAAATTCCAACCAAAACCAACTCGAATCTTCACCAAATTCACTCAAAATTGAGATATAAACTTCAAAGGATATCCCTAATCATTTGCAACAACACTCAATCCAAACAAATAACAATTTCGTAAAATTTAATTTTTGAATTTAAAGCTTCAAAGCTTTGTAATGGCTTTCAGTGGAGTTCTTAATGAATTAACAGAGTTTGGTTCTCAAACCTTTCTTCCATAGGCGAAATAGCTGAACAGTTTGATCAATGATAATAATCCAACAACATATAGCATAAGTTTATTCCTCGAAAAGGAATCCAGAAAGGAACCTCATGAAAATATTTTCATTAAGTCCTATTACTCCCGTATCCAGCCAGTTTTCGATTTTGAAGGTACCCAAATTTATCTTTTTGGTTGTGATTATTGTATTTTGTGAATTTGAAAGAATCATCTGATTGAATAAACAATTAGGCGTGAGAAGAGAAAATGGAGGGGGAATGGAAGATTAGATTCTAATACATTATTTTGCATATAAGTAGTAAATTGTATATTAACTTGTAACTAAGTTTAAACTTCAATATCGAGAGTAAATAAGTTTCAAAAGTAGTACAGATTCCCTAAAAATTCCTTAAAGCTACTAAGCTTTAATTAGGCTGGGCTTCACTTAGATGTCCACTTCCACAAGTATCGGGCTTGTAAGCTTACGTAGTAGTATACAAATTCACAAACTTGGGCCTTAAGAAGAGGCCCATGTTTATGGTTTGGGCTTGAAAACAGAAAATATCCAACAACGTCGAGCTATGGAGCAATTGAACTCCGGCGACACCATAGTCTTTGCTGCTGTGCTCCATCTTCAGCTGTAATATTTACAACTTGAATTTTGAAGTAGCTTTAAACAGTAGAGAGAAAAAGAGCGAGCAAGTTCGATGGATTTAAGCTTCCCCGTGAAAGCTCAGCTTTTTGGCTCCAAAATTTGTTACAAGTCCCCTAGCTACTCTACTTCAATAAAATTCTACCATAAAATATCTCGGCCTCAATTTTCAGTATATGGAATTAGGGTTCGTTCAGAATTTGACCACAAAATCAATGGAGCTTTCTCTCCCGATAATGACGCTCGCTTCCTCGACCGGGTATCTCTCTCTCTCTCACACACAAAAAACATATGTGTGTAAAAGCATGCGTTTAAAATGAAATTTTGGGGAAAATGGGATAAGTTAAGTACTTCCATTGACTATACCAGCGAGTGACTGACTTGACTAACTGTTTGTGCTTCAGCAAAAGGCATTGGAAGCTGCAATGAATGATATAAACAGCTCCTTTGGCAAAGGAAGCGTCACTAGATTGGGTAGTGCTGGTGGAGCTCTTGTGTATGTAATTTTCTTCAATGCCAAATAAAAGAAAAAGAAAGAAAAATACTTGCAAAGAGTAAATGGTGAATCTGTTTATGATATTATAGGTGGAACTTATCGTAGGAAGCTTTAATAGTCTCTCTGTAGAGATATATCAGTCTCACAATCTACTTTTTTCTGCAGTGAAACTTTTCCAAGTGGCTGCTTGACGCTTGACTTTGCTTTAGGTGGTGGCCTTCCCAAAGGGAGAATTGTTGAGGTTTTAACTTTAAATACTTTTCATCTGTATTTTCAATATACATTAGTTATTGCTGGTTATTAATCATCTATTTGGTTAAGATTAATTGATTTTGATTACACATTGGTGGAGTAATCCTACATGAAGCTACATAGAACAATTAAAATTGATGCATTAATAAAGTTGATTTTGTTACAAAACCATTTCATCAATAGGCTGGGGTATTAGATTCTGATTTTTCTGTACATCTTGAATTCCTCAATTGATATGAGTGTGTGGAACATTAACAAGATTGGTGCAATTTGTTGTCTGATATTTTTCACTCACATTTGCCTTTACAGATATATGGACCTGAAAGTAGCGGAAAGACTACCTTAGCTCTCCATGCTATTGCAGAAGTACAGGTGCAATATGTGTTTGGTTTATTCTACTCATTAATTTGGAACTTCTACTGGGGATGGGCCTGCACTTGGACAGGAGGGGCAATTGATAATTTGGATGAAAAACAGAAGTCATATGGTTCTATCTACGGATGAACTGGAAAGAAAATAATGGACAATTTGGAAGGGTAAAAGGCAAAGCTTAGAGTCCTTCTAGGGTCCATTAGAGCTTTATTGCTGCAGCCTATCCACTGAAACCACTTATCTTAGGCTTCTTACTTAAAGATGTTCTTGTGTGAAGTGAGACAGATTATAAATTGTCAAATTCTCGTTATGCAGAAGCTAGGAGGCAATGCAATGCTTGTTGATGCTGAGCATGCTTTTGATCCTGCATACTCTAAAGCACTTGGAGTAGATGTAGAGAATTTGATTGTCTGCCAACCTGATAACGGAGAGATGGCTCTAGAAAGTAATACTTTTCCCTCGTTACACCATTAGAAATGACTTTGCGTTTTTTGCGCTAGCGAACTTATCAATGATCGCTGTAGTCTTACTAGAGTTTGTACTTTTAACCAAACTTTTGGTTGCCCCAGTCGCAGACCGAATGTGCAGATCGGGTGCTGTAGATCTCATTTGTATTGATTCAGTCTCAGCCCTTACTCCACGGGCTGAAATTGAGGTAAGCCAACATTTTAGTTTTCTAAATGTTTAGAAAGTCCCACCAGTTCCTGATTTCATGGTATGTTGTTATGTGTAGGGAGAAATTGGGATGCAGCAAATGGGTTTACAAGCACGCCTGATGAGTCAAGCTTTACGTAAAATGTCAGGCAATGCTTCGAAAGCTGGGTGTACTCTTATATTCCTCAATCAGATAAGATACAAGGTATTCTTGACATAGAAATTGCAGCATGCTCTTTCTAAGTAAACATGCCATTCTAACTTCCATAAGTGTGATTAACTTCATATACTGCATGATTCTCATCCTTACTTGTGGACTCACATGCTGAATGATAATAATTCCTATGATTGGAATCAGATTGGTGTTTATTATGGAAATCCTGAGGTCACAAGTGGAGGGATTGCCTTGAAGTTTTTCGCCTCAGTTCGACTTGAGATCCGTTCTACAGGGAAGATAAAATCTGTGAGTGCAGAACTGCTCAGATGGCTAATTTATTTTATATTTTTCACACATTTAAATTTTCTATATTGAAACACTGTTACTGATTCTTTCAGGCAAAAGGAGATGAGGAAGTGGGCCTTAAGGTCCGGGTAAGAGTTCAAAAGAGCAAGGTAAAACGGCTTCACATCATATTTACTCAATGTGGTGGCATCAGTGTTATGTTTGTCGAAATGGAAAGCATGTGTTAATGGTTCATCAGTTATACAAGAGTTCAGTGCTTAAACTATAAAGCTGACATTTGCATGATAAAGGTTGTCATAACAACAACAACAACAACATACCCAGTATAATCCCATGGGTGGGATCTGGGGAGGTTAGTGAGTACGCAGACCTTACCCCTATCTGGAGAGGTAGAGAGGCTGTTTCCGATAGACCCTCGGGTCAAGAAAAAGTGGAAAGGAAGAATAGGGGAGAAGAAGAGGAGGAAAGAGGGGGGAGAAAGGCGATAAGCAAAGAGGAGAAAAAGTAGCATCAAATAGTAACCATCAGGGAGCAACAATATCCGGTAAAAGGGCGAAAAAGTAGCATCAAATAGTAACAATCAGAGAACAACAATCCCAGTAGCAATTTACAAAAACAAAGGACGTGGTTGCAAAGTACCAGATACAATAACTAACTAGAAGGAAGTAACTTTCAACCCACAGCACGAATATTATTAGTACTACTGGTGAACCTATGGAAAACTCGCAACTACCTATCAACCCATCACCTTAATCCTCGACCTCAACACCTTCCTATCGCTAGTCAAGTCCTCGATTAGGTGAAGCACCGACATGTCCTGCCTAATTACCTCTCCTCAATACTTCTTAGGCCTACCCCTGCCCTTCCTCAAGTCCGCCATGGTCAACCTCTCACGCCTCCTGACCGGGGCATCTATATCTCTCCTCTTCACATGCCCAAACCATCGCAGCCTTGATTCCCGTAACTTGGCTTCCACGGATGCCACTTCCACCTTGTCCCTAATAACTTCATTCCTGATCTTGTCTTTCCGGTATGACCCCACACACTTCTCAACATCCTCATTTCTGCTACGCTCATCTTTTGGGCTTGTGACTTCTTACGGGCCAACACTCAGCTTCATACAATATAGCTGGTCTAACCACCACCCTGTAGAATTTGCCCTTAAGTCTAGGCGGTACATTCTTATCACATAAAACCCCCGAAGCTAGCCTCCATCTCATCCAACATGCTCCAATGCGGTGAGTAACATCCTCGTCAATTTCCCGGTTGCCTTGGATTATAGTCCAAGATACTTGAAACTATCTCTTGTGGGAATGACTTGAGTATCAATATGATAAAGGTTGTCATGGTTATTGGATCTCCTGCACCGGCGAAGCATGGTGATTCCACTGTATAATTCTTGTGAATTGGTGTATATTGTCGAAGATTTTAGATAGCTACTTTAGTGATGCATCCTTGCAGAAATCTCTTCTAGCAAAGACCTCTATTTTTTTTTGAATCTCTTTTAGCAAATACAAGACAAGAACATCAAAGAAATTGCCAGTATACATCTGATCTATTACTGTTTGCATCTTCTTGCTGATTATGGTGCCAATATGCTAATTGGTCTTACTCTTTTCCTTCTTAGGTTTCTAGGCCTTACAAGCAAGCAGAATTTGAAATTATCTTTGGAGAAGGAGTGAGCAAGCTGGTCTGTGTGGCATTATTATCTTTCTTTTCCTTTGTGATCGGCTCAAATTCTGTTCCTGAAATTGACCTTTTGCAGGGTTGCGTATTAGATTGTGCTGAACTGATTGACGTGGTGTCTAAGAAGGGTTCGTGGTATAACTATGGGGAGCACAGGTTTGTACATTTTGCAGCTTTTGCTAAAATATAGGGACTCCCGAGAAGCTTACAAAACCATTAATATGGAACTCCATGTCTCAACAGAAATATTTGCATATTTTTGTCATGACCAATCAAGAGTCTGAAAATTTTCTATAGGCCATAGTGGAAGTGTCAAAGCTTACATTCAAATGAAAAGAAAACAGCTTAGGTCAATTTGTATTACTCATACCTCATATGGTTGCTGAAGGAAATAATTTTATGTAGTGATAAGAATAAGCAAGAAATTGACTCTCAGTGTGATTCAGAACTGTCCCAAAAAATGAAGTGATTCAGAACTGTCCAATTTACTGATTATTGGTGCAGAAGCTAAGATTAATCAAAGATTTGTCTTACTTATTACATCTGTGAGCCGAATCATGCAACCGGTTCATTACTAATATTATGTGACTCAGCACTGTTTCTTTGATGTTTTACTTTAATCTTATGCTAGTCAACACTTATTCTTGATGCTTTAATGAAGGCTGGGACAGGGACGAGAGAAAGCATTGCAGTATTTGAGAGAGAATCCTCTTCTCTCTGAAGAAATAGAGAAGGTAATTATACTCACTTTTTAGGTGCATTTTGGAAGTGTTTTTACTCGTCGTATTGTGTAACATAAGTTCAATATCTGAAGATTACCTGGGAGGTGTTAGGCGAATAAATAACCTGATAATAAAAGAGAACTAATAAAGCAAACATCTCAGTTTATTTGCATATTAGTTATGTTCATTGTTCATTAGCTTATCTGTTCTTGTATCTTGAGCCTGTAGGTTATTGTTTTAGATGGAAGACAGATGGAAACTATGGCCATTTGTGGTCATAGTACCTATAAGCGAAGATATATTTTTATATGTCGTAGTATTGGCTTAACACAATGAGAAGTTTCTTGTACACTGCAAATCAATATTTTAGGGGCGTAGAAATGACATTATCTATCTGCCCGTGCAGATGGTTCGGACATCCGTGGTAGACGCAACTGGGTTTTTAGGCTCTTCTTTATCGAAACACCCACTGCCACAGCTTCAAGAGGAAGATGCACTTCAAGAGATGCAATAACATGAATCAGAGTTCTGCTTTGATTGATTATGACAACAAATTTCACAACCAATATTGACATCCATCTGATTCTATAGAAGAAATGAACAAAATTGGAAGAGTCGCTACTGGAATTGCTTAGTATGAGACCATTTCTGTACTCTATACATTGTTGAAGAAAGATGTATATTCTTGTATACTAGTACATCTTGGTGGGGAGAAGGAGATAGATACGTCCTTCATTGCTGGACTGGTTGCCTGTTGTGCAAACAAGAATGCTTTTTCTATTTTGGACGTCTAAATTTTCTGGGTGACTAGGTGTCACCTGAGCCAAAACAGAAGAATTAGAGTTAAGGTAGTGAAAAGGAGTATGTAGTTAGCTCATTGCTGCATATTTTGTCATTGTGGTTTGGTTGTATTGTTAGCCAACATTTATGATTGAGCTCTTTTCTCTGTACATCAACTTTAAGAGGTCAAAATTGTACCATTTTGTTGGACTTAAAGAAAACAATATTTGAACATTTAACAATGTGCTAGTGGCAAATGAAGATTTTTGCTAGCATCGTGGAATTTCTCTACATCTGCATTGGATGTTAATATCTTACCTGTTGCATTGTTACTAGTGTGACGACCCAAAGGGTTATCACTTGTTCTCTTATTCATTCTGTGCTTCCGAGGCCTTGAAAACCTCATTTAGGGTCGCCTCGATTTGCGTGCACAGTCCGGGCGCGTAGCCCGAAAGTCTAGATATGAATTTCTGTGAAAAATGCGAAGTTTTGATATTAAAATGAATAAATTTGACTTCGGTCAACATTTTGGGTAAACGGACCCGGACCCGTGATTTGACGGTCCCGGAGAGTCCGTAGGAAAATATGGGACTTGGGCGTATGACCGGAATCGAATTCCGAGGTCCCAAGCCCGAGAAATGAATTTTTTGAGTAAAATTGTTTTCTGAAAATATTCAAGGAAATTGGAAATGTAATTTGATTAGAACGTGTTGGTATCGGGCCCGTATTTTGGTTCCGGCGCCCGGTACAGGTTTTATATATGGTTTAAGCACTTTCTGTAAAGTTTGGTTGAAAACGGACGTCGTTTGACGTGTTTCGGACTTAAAATGGAAAGTTTGATGTTTTATGAAATTTGGAAGAAATCATGGATTTTGAGGCTTACTTTGATGTTTATGATGTTATATTAGCGATTTAATCGCACGGATAAGTCCGTAGGATGTTTTTGAGGTTGTGTGTATGTTTGGGTTGGAGCCCCTAGGGCTCGGGTGAATTTTGGATAGGCCGTGAGTGCATTTTTAACCTTTGTGAAAATCTGGCAGTTCCGTTCTAGTAACTTCGCATTTGCGAAGAAGTTCTCGCAAATGCGAGCCTTTGATCGCAAATGCGAGAAGGGGGAATCCTGCATTGGGTCGCAATGCGACCATCTGGTTCGCAAATGCGATGTGGAGCCAGTCGCAAATGCGACATAGAGGCTCGCAAATGCGATGTCTGCTGTTTCGCAAATGCGATATAATTGTCGCAAATGCGATGCTCTTATTTTTGCCCAGTGTTCGCAAATGCGAACATGACTTCGCAAATCCCATACCAGGTCGGGGTTCGTAATTGCGAACCCCAGTTCGCAAATCCCACATCTGCAACCTGCATATTTTACACTTAGCCGAATTTTGAACCATTTTCAAAATTCTTTCAGAACACAAACTTCTTGGGCGATTTTTCAAGAACAAACCTTCTTCCAAATCAATTGTAAGTTGATTTTTACTCATTTCTTTCAATCATTAACATCATTTAACATGTTTTCAACTTAAAATCAATGATTTTCATGGGTGAAATTGGGGGTTTTGGGTAGAACCTAGGTTTTTCTAAAATTGGGGATTTGGACCTCAATTTGAGGTCCGATTTCAAAATAAATTGTATATTCGAATTCGTGGGTGAATGGGTACTCGGGTTTTGGTTCGAACCTCGGGTTTTGACCACGTGGGCCCGGGGGTGATTTTTGACTTTTTGGGTAAAACTTGGGAAAACTCATTTTCATGCTTTGGGGTTGATTCATTTAGTGTTTATTAATGTAATTAAGTAATTTGTGATTAGATACGAGCGAATTGGTGGTGGAATCGCGGGGTAAAGCTATACTTAAGGCTTAAGTTGTGTGCAAGGCATTGAGGTAAGTGTTTGGTCTAACCCTAGCTTGAGGGACTAGGAGTTGAGTCTTATTTGCTAATTGTTGATTTGTTGAGTACGACGTATAGGCATGGTGACGAGTATCTATACGTTGGTGTCTAGCATGACCGTGAGTCTTTAAATTGTGAATACCTTGATTTCGTTGTATTTCTCTTGCCTTGGCAATGATTCCTAATTGTTGTGAAAAGCTTGTGAAAGGAAATTGTGACCTATGAACAACGAGGAGCATTGGCTCAAGTTATATTTCAATTGTACGTATATGAAATGGTTGAACCCCTTTGGAGCATTGGCTTAAGTGGTAAAGTGAGATATGAAACAAAAGTGAAAGGAAGAGAAAGAGTATTTAAATTGTTCCCTTGCCAGGATATTGTTGTTTATTGATTGTTTTCCCTTGCCGGGATGTCGAGATTATTGATGTTGTACCCTTGCCGAGATTTCTTTTATTACTTTGTTTATCCCCTTGCCCCTTGTTTGTGATTGTTGTTTGGGTGAGGAAGAGTGTTAAAGCACGAAGGGTGATGCCGTGCATTGTTTGTTTGTTGTGAGGAAAGAGTGTAAAGCACGAAGGGTGATGCCGTGCATTGTTTGCTTATGGTGAGGAAAGAGAGTAAAACACGAAGGGTGATGCCGTACCGCACGATGTACCATTCCGTGCCAATATTGATTATATGTGAGGAAAGAGAGTAAAAGCACGAAGGGTGATGCCGTGCACATTTTATTATTCTAATTGCTTGGTGAGGAAAGAGAGTAAAAGCACGAAGGGTGATGCCGTGCACATTTTATTATTCTAATTGCTTTGGTGAGGAAAGAGAGTAAAAGCACGAAGGGTTATGCCGTGCACGTTTTCATTATATTATTGCTTGGTGAGGACGAGAGTAAAAGCACGAAGGGTGATGCCGTGCACTTGTCTTTGATTTTTTCCTGATTTTTGCTGATAATTGAGTTATGTTGTCCTTTACTTCTATTTACTGATTTTCTTGTTGTTATCGGTTCAAGTGCATTAATTGTCTTATCCCACTATTATTGTGACTCTTTATGTTGGTATTTTCCTTTATTATGTTACTTGTTATTGTTGGCTCGAGGTATCCTTGCGCAACATTATGCTTTGAATTTATGCTATAATTGCTACATGTTTATGTGACTTAATTGCTACTTGACATTTAGCATACTAAATATTAAATTGCATATTTGCTCCTTAAAGTCCATAATTAATTGCAACTTGTCATTGCTTGTTTTCCTCTGTGAGTCATAATTATTGTGTACTTGTTGTCTTATGAATTCGTATTAATTGTTGTGTTTGTTGGAGTAAATTTCATTTGGAAGAACTGTTTACTTAATGAAATAGGAGCGGGTGGTACGCCTACCACGAGATTTAATAAAATGGGAGCGGGTGGTACGCCTACCACGAGATTAATAAAATGGGAGCGGGTGGTACGCCTACCACGAGATTAATGAAATGGGAGCGGGTGAAATGCCTACCACGAGAATTAATAAAATGGGAGCGGGTGGTACGCCTACCACGAGATTAAAGAAATGGGAGCGGGTGGTATGCCTACCACGAGATTTAATGAAATGGGAGCGGGTGGTACGCCTACCACGAGATTTGATTATGGAGAAATGGGATCGGGTTGCACGCCTGCAACGAGATATGTACTGACAGTGAAATTTGCTTTTATTTCCCTTATCCGTGTTCAAGTTAAATTATTGATGTTCTTTATTATTTTCTTGAAATTCCGTATTATCTGCTACCCCCGAAGCATGTTCCCCTCCCATTTAAAAAGTTTGTTCTTGTTATTTTTCGTTGTAGATATATATATAACTGTACAGGTTTACGTGGTAGTCCTGTCTAGCCTCGTCACTACTTCGCCGGGGTTAGGCTAGGCACTTACCAGCACATGGGGTCGGTTGTGCTGATACTACACACTCTGTGCTCTTTTGCACAGATCGAGGTATCGGGTAGCCGTAGTAGCTCGGGAGCCAGCCTTCAGTTCACTGAGACACCGAGGTAGCCTTGGAGGCGTCCGCAGGCCCAGCGTCTCCTCTATTTTATTTATGATCTGTTATCTCTTATATTCGAGACAGACAGTGTTACTTTCTTTCAAATGGTTGTATGTAGTAAATCTTAGTAGTCCGTGAATGTTGTGACACCAGTTCTGGGTAGGGGCACATGTGGATTTTTCCTTATTTATTGGGTTATATCGTTTAAGTCTTCCGCTAAATTACAAATTCCGCTGTTGTTTAGTTATTTATTTCCTGTTAATTAAATTGGTAGAAATGGATTTTAAACAAAAGCATTTATGGATTCAAGATGTATGGCTTGCCTAGATTCTACGAGTAGGCGCCATCACGACCCCCGATGGTGGGAAATCCGGGTCGTGACAAGTTGGTATCAGAGCTCTAGGTTACACAGGTCTCACAATTCACGGACAAGCTCAGTAGAGTCTGAGGGATCGGTACGGAGATGTCTGTATTTATCCCCCAGAGGCTACGGAGTTAGGAAAACATCACACTTGTTCTTTCCTGTCGTGGGGTTTTGTTTCTCAAATGCTAAATTGAAACCTCTACTCTTGTCCCTTTGCGAATGGCGAGGTCATGCACCGCTTCTTCAGCCGGGCAGCAGCACAGACCGGTGATAGATCAGCTACGTCTTCGGAGGCTTTATGGAGATTGGATAAGTTTCACCAAGCTCTTCAATTCTACATTCAGCGGTGCATCTATTGAGGATCCCCAGGATTTTCTGGATAGTTGCCACGAGGTTCTTCGGAACATGGGGATCGTGGAGACCAATGGGGTCGATTTTGCTACCTTTCGCTTGTCTGGATCCGCCAAGACCTGTTGGAGAGATTATTGATTGGCTATACCAGTTAGGTCACCAGCTTTGACTTGGGAGCAGTTCACGCAGCTATTTCTGGAGAAGTTTCTCCACATCACTCAGAGAAAGGTATCAGAGGGGGAGGTAGTGGTATTAGAGGTGGAGGTAGAGATGCTAGAGGTGGAGGTAGATGTATTAGAGGTGGAGGTGCAGATGTTGTTCTGATTTGTAGCAGAGAAGCTTCAGTTTATTTTGCGCCGCATCTGGTCATGCCTAGTGATTCTTTGAGTGCCCCTGTTTATGTGTCTACGCCGGTGGGTGATTCTATTGTGGTGGATCGCGTCCATTGTTCATGTATAGTGGTTATTGGAGGTCTTGAGACTCGTGTAGATTTTCTTCTTCTGGACGTGGATGATTTCGGTGTTATATTGCTGATGGACGGGTTATCACCTTACCACGCTATCTTGGACTGTCACGCCAAGACTGTGACCTTAGCCTTACCGGGTATGCCTCGTTTAGAGTGGAGAGGGACTCCAGGTCATTCTACCCGCAGTGTTATATCGT